TGATCCCCCTTTTTGAAAAGGGGAACCACCACCCCGGTCTGCCACTCCTCCGGTACTGTTTCCGACTTCCACGCAATGTTGATGAGACGTGTCAACCATGACAGTCCCTCAACACCCAGAGCCTTCAGCATTTCTGGGCGGATCTCATCCACCCCCGGGGCTTTGCCACTGTGGAGTTGTTTGACGACCTCAGTGACCTCCCCCCGGGAGATTGGTGTTGATCCCCCGTCATACTCCAGCTCTGCCTCTAACATAGAGGGCGGAGTTGTCGGGTTCAGGAGTTCCTCAAAGTGTTCCTTCCAACGCCCCTAACACTCCATCAGTTGAGGTCAACAACGTCCCATCCTTACTGTACACAGCTTGGATGGTTCCCTGCTTCCCCCTCCTGAGGTGTCGGACAGTTTTCCAGAACAACTTCTCCGAACTTCTCCCACACCCACTGCTTTGCCTCGGCCACGGATGAGGCTGCTGCCCTTCGGTCCTGTCGGTACCTTGCAACTGCCTCCGGAGTCCCCCGGGATAACAAATCCCTGAAGGCCTCCTTCTTCAGTCGGACGGCTTCCCTGACCACCGGTGTCCATCAGGAGGTTCGAGGGTTACCGCCCCTTGAGGCACCTAGGACCTTGAGACCACAGCTCCCCGCCGCGGCTTCGGCAATAGAGGCTTTGAACACCGACCACTCTGGTTCAATGTCCCCAACCTCCACAGGAATGCCCGAAAAGCTCCGCCGGAGGTGTGAGTTGAAGGCCTCCTGAACTTGGGCCTCCTCCAGACGTTCCCAGTTCACCCGAACTACACGTTTGGGCTTACCAGGTCTATCCAGAGGCTTCCCCCGCCACTCGACCCAACTCACCACCAGATGGTGATCAGTTGACAACTCCGCCCCTCTCTTTACCCGAGTGTCCAAAACATACGGCCTCAGGTCCGATGATACGATAACGAAATCGATCATGGACCTTCTGCCTAGGGTGCTCTGGTACCACGTACACTTATGAGCATCCTTATGTTCGAACATGGTGTTTGTTATGGCCAATCCATGACTAGCACAGAAGTCCAGTAACAAACCACCACTCCGGTTCAGATCAGGGGGGCCGTTCCTCCCAATCACGCCCCTCCAAGTGTCTCCATCATTGCCCACATGTGCGTTGAAGTCTCCCAGCAAGATTAAAGAGTCCCCTTCAGGAGCCCCATACAGGACTCTTTCCAGGGTCTCCAAGAAGGCCGTATACTCTGAACTGCTGTTGGGTGCATAAGCACATACAACAGTCAGAGTGTTCCCCCCCATAACCCGCAGGCGTAGGGAGGCGACCCTCTCGTCCACTGGGGTAAACTCCAACAACGAAGCACTTGTGAGTATCCCCACACCCGCCCGGCGCCTCACACCTTGAGCAACTCCGGAGAAGAATAGAGTCCAACCTCTATCCAGAAATAAGGTTCCAGAGCAGACGCTGTGCGTAGAGGTGAGCCCAACCAGATCCAACTGGTAACGCTCCACCTCCCGCACAAGCTCCGGCTCCTTCCCCCCCAGAGAGGTGACGTTTCACGTCCCCAAAGCCAGCTTCTGTCGCCCGGGTCTGGTCCGTCGAGACCCTCCGCTTTGACTGCCACCCATCTGGCAGCGCACCCGACCCCATCGCTGTTTCCCGTAGGTGGTGGGCCCGCGGGACGGAGAAGCGGAGGTGTTGCCCACGTTGCCTTTTCGGGCTGGGCCCGGCCAGGCTCCGTGGCAAGCCCGGCCACCAGACGCTCGCCGACGAGTCCTCCTTCTGGGCCTGGCTCCAGAAGGGGACCCCGGGCTTCCTCCGGGCCGGGTATCCTCACTTCCTGTGTCGTCTTTCATGAGGTCTTTTGAACCAATCTTAGTCTGGCCCCTTGCCTGAGACCAATTTGCCATGGGAGACCCTACCAGGAACACAAGGTTCCAGACAACACAGCCCCCAGGTTCATCAGGGCACACAAACCTCTCTACCACGGTAAGGTGCTGGTTCTTCAGAGAGGTGCAACAATGCAACATATATAATAAAATATAAAAATACAAAATAAAAAGTAGTGCAAAAAGACTATGTCAATAGACATTAGTTAAGTGAAGTGCAGTCAAATATTACATCAGCATAAACTGAGAATGGTGTATTTAAAGGGCTGACCACACTTAAGTCAACATATTTGCCAAGCGTTCTCAAATGCATGAACTTTATATTTGTAGGATATCATATGCATACTGTAACAAGCAGTCATTCATTTTGTCTGATGTGAAAATGTGAAGGCTCTTTAGGAATTGTGTCATCCATCAAAATTGAGTATGCATTGTTTTTTATATATGTCAAACTCATAATCTCAACAGGATTAATCAGTGCAGTCTATTCAAATCAATCCACACTTAAAATGCATTAGCGCACACTGATTATGTAACTTTAATTAAAAGACATGAACGTAAATAAAACACTAATGTGTCTAAAACACCAGTAACTCTAAATTACAGAAAGCAATTGAATGCCTTCTTCTCTAATATCCTGCTTTTTGATGTCTTAATTAAAGCTGCAGGAGCATCCCTCCCCAGAGCCATCCGTTGAGCTCTGTCCCCGCCTGTGTCACCTGGTGAAGGGGGAGAACGGCTACGGCTTCAACCTGCACAGCGACAAGAAGAAGGGGGGACAGTTTGTGCGCTCAGTGGACCCCGGATCAGCTGCTGAGAGCGCGGACATCAGACCTGGAGACAGAATAGTGGAGGTACGACCAAAGAAAGTCAAGATCAAGCGGGCCCTTCTCCCCTTAGTCAGAGTTTATATGCAGAACGATGCATCTGATGGGAAAAACATTACCGCCGCAACCCATATTAATCAGGTCTGCATACTGATTTGAGGTGTGCGTGGATTAGAGCAGATTAGCTGCGCCCAGGCTTAGTGGGCGGAAGAAAGAGGAGGAAAAGAAGAAAAGGAAACTCTTGAATGGAGGTGTAGAGGAGGGCATTGTGTTTCTGTGTCTTTCCGTGTGAACATGTCTGCATGTGGATTACAGGCTTTCAGATATGCATGAGTGACATATTTATTTCCATTTCCTTCTCTACAAGGCGTAGAGTCAAAGGTGTGAAGAGGAAATGTGGATGCAGGAAGCGAATTTATGCAAATAAACTCACTTCTGCTGAAATCACAGATGATGTTTTTGTCTTGTGAGGCATACTGTAACTACTGCTTGTGTTATGGCTACTTCCTAATCCCTGCCCTGTCTCCTGTCTGTCTCATTAGGTCTCTCTGTGTATGCAACTTTCCCTTTATTTTCCATGTCCTTCACTGTTTCTGCCTACTTTGACGTCTTCTTTTTCTTCGTCTCAGGTGAACGGAATGAACATATCCACCCTGAGACACTCAGAGGTGGTGGCACTCATTAGAGAAGCAGGGGGGGAAGTGCGCTTCCTAGTGGTTGACCAGGAGACGTATGATTTATTCCAAAGAATTAGAATCACACCCACTGTCAGCCATGTCAAAGGTTAATTGTATACACACACACAAATTCACATCCTTTACTCTCATGACCAAAAGTCTTACATGTTACTGTTCTCTCTCTCTCACAGAGGTCTATCTGGAGGAATCGGTCACAGAAAGCAGCCCACCCACCCCCTCTCCGACCACTGAACTCCCCGCCACAGAACCACCAATAATAAACGTCACACTGACAGACTCCCCGATCACAAAAACATCTCCAAATTCCAGGACCAATGGGAGTTTAGCATCCCATTCCTCCAGAAGTTCCACCACCCAATCAGAGATCAGCAGCTCGGACATGAGCATCCAGGTGAGAGAGGAAACAAAAGAGTCAGATTGTTAGAAAAGTGCTCGCAAGAGAGTATCAGCCAAGTGTGTCTTCCTCTCTGATCCCAAACCGAGAAGAGGTCACTTCATTGTCCCACCTGTCTCCTTAAGGTCAAGATTGGGATGAGGATAATAGAAACAGGGATTGATTCATCTCTGATAAATTTAGTATTGTAACATACAGCGTATGGAATTAAAGGCCAAATATTAGCTTTTACCAAATAACTGGGTAAGGCTTACATTACATTATATTACATTTGGCTGATCAAAAGCGACTTACAATAAGTGCAAAAACCACAAGATTCACAATCCTTACAACAAAGAAAGTGCAGATATATTCACGTCAAGCAAGTCATAACATAGTAAGTGCTGGTGAATTAGTTTCAAGGCCTAAATTAACTTTTTTAGGTGCTTTTTCTTTCTTTTCTTTTTACATACTTAGTGCTTAGTACAGGCTGGTTAAAGGGAGTGAGGAGTCAGCAGTCAATGATGGTATAAAACAGTCAGTCAGTATTATTGTGAATCACTGCAATCATGAGTCTTTAAAATATTGGACTGATGGGTCCAGCAGAATGTGAGATTAGTGCCGGACATACAGACAGACACACACGCTGGTGAGTGGCTGTGTGAAACATGTACTTCGTATAATAATAATAAATTGCATTTCTATAGTGCTTTTCATAGACTCAAAGTACTTGTGTGTGTGTTGCAGGTCCACGATGAGGACGACAGGCGTGTTTCGGATCCTTTCATGGAGAGCGGCCTGCGTCTGAGTCCCACAGCTGCTGAGGCAAAAAAAAAGGCCCTCAACAGTCGCAACAAGAAGAGAGCACCTACTATGAACTGGAGTAAGAAACAAGAGATCTTCAGTAGCTTCTGATACCCGAACACAAGGAGAGAAGAGAAAAGATGAACTGCATGGAGGAACAATGTTGGGGTACTTAACTGTTCAAATTGTAATGAACTGCACCTTGATCTTGAAGAGGCAGTAAAAGAAAGCGTAATATGAAAAAGAAAGAAATATTTATAGAGTTATTGTGCTTAAATATTTTGCTCTGTGTAGAACTACATAGTAAAATAGCATATAGAAATCTCTAGATGCTTATTTTACAGTATATTTCATGCTAAAGACATGTTCTATGAGTGTGTCGGAGATCCTATGATACACTGCATTAAACACTAATGATAGGTAAACTCATCACTACTAATGTACCAGGTCAGAACACAGTGTTTCTCTTTATTAAATCATATTCATATCATAGCCATAGCAACTAAAACAGCCTCTGTGCACTCGGTCTGAGATTTCTGTAGATACGCTTTTCTGTTTTAGATCATTTTTTGAACTAATGGTTTTGTGTCTTTTCAGTTTGTAATGTGCAAATTACATCTGAGTCCCGGTGTAGTTATTATCACGTTTAGTTTTTTCAATTTGATGTAGGATATCAATTTCAAATGTAAATACAGAGGAAATGGAAGAGGCTATTTATGAAATGTATGATGTTGGATCACCTCAGTGCTTATCTTCAATGTTCAAGTGATTTCTGTAAAGGAATATATTTAAAGACGGATGGTTGACTATAGAACTGTAGACCCTCTGATCTGTCATTGTAGCTTTTTGAGGATTTTTCTCTCAAATGTGCTTGTTTGAATGTGAAATTAACGTTCAGAATAAATGCATAAAAGACACAGTAAAATGTTGGTTATCAATATGTAAAATACGCTTTTAAATGTGGGAAAAGTTAGTTTTTAAGTTGGACACCTGATAGACACTCGTTTCTCATTCATTTTCACAGACGGTTTGCAGTCAGAGAACGGTTAGCTCATATCCACACAGGGGTTTCGACCAAGTCATTCCTAAAACCTACATTGGACAATTAAGGGACACCTTCTGAAAAATGAATATTGTTACAAGATAGATAGATAGATAGATAGACAGACAGATAGGTAGATAGATAGACAGACAGACAGATAGATAGATAGATAGATGGATGGATGGATGGATAGATAGATAGAAATGTGTGTGTTACAGCAGCATAAAAAACAAGGCAATGTACATGAGAGAGATGAAGACACTAGAAATACACAGTCCAAAATATTTCTGAAATAAAATAGCATTAAAAAGTTACAAAAATATATACATGTGGAAAATATACATGTGAAAATACAAATTTCCAGTAGCAAATATAATGCAGGATATTATTGTGCAAGAAATGGATTATTCAATATTATATAACAATTCGGCAGTATCTTTGTCGGAAAGTCTAATAATTAAATAGCTTGTAATGTTACTGAATGACTATGGACAAGAAGAACACACATATTTTTCATTAAAATGTGCTTGCCATTTCATTATAACTTTGTTTTGGTTTTTAGACCAGAGCTGTGAGCTGTAACAGAAGCATGTCATTATGTTGCTGGATGGATCAGATCTGTGGATCCTGGGACATTTCTGACATTATTGGAAAGGAATACATGTTCCTGAAAAGAGGGCCTGAATGCACATACTAAAATAGTAACATTTCACAGAGAAGTTTCTCAGCTGCTGAACAGACAGCTACGAAAGCCCTGCAGGGAGGCAAGTGGGAAGAACCGCCTCGAACCTGTGGTCCCCCATTCATGCCTGATGTGTCATATTATTTTATACATTTGTGTGGGCCAAAACATTTTTTTCGTGAGGTCACTCACAGGGACCATGAACTTTGAACACCAGAGTCTAATAAACTCATCGATTAATAAAGTCCGGAGTGCCTCATTTATTGAAAATCCAACTCAAGGTATTCCTCCTGGGATGTTGGGTTTACTCAATGATTTTTCTATCAGACTTTTAAAGTCGCCCATTAAAGGTGCATGGGGTATGTAATTTATTTCAGAAACACTTTTTGTTATATTGCATGAGGCGCATTCACACCGCAGTACTTTTCCCACAAAGGTTCATGAGAACTTAGTTAATAGGCGCTTTCACACTGCGGTACTTTTCCCACACAGGTTCATGTGAACTTAGTTCATGTGAACTCTTTAGTTCGCATGAACTAAGTACAGATCGCGTTCACACTGTAAAAAGTCCCTGGGGGTGGATTAGGCAAATGAAGCCACTGACGTCACTTGTTCTTCTTCTGCTTTGGGTTTACTGGCAGGCCGCAAACCACTTCACGGCGTATACTGCCACCCGGAGTCCCCGGCCGGAAGTCCCCGGAGTTAGGGACTGGCTTCAGTAGAAGCTGCTGGGACTCCCAGCAGCTTCTACTGAAGCCTTCCGAGTAAATCGCCAGAACGCCGACACCTCCTCATCTCCACCGCTCCCATGTTTTATTTTGTGTTGCCATAAGTTAGTCTCTCTGCGTTTCTACGCTGGGCTAATGCTAATGCTAATAATGCTAATGCGAGGATAATAAAATGGCGGCTTCACAAAACTTTTTGGGAGTTTTGCGGGGCGTGGTTTGCAATCCTTCCAGCCAATCAGAAATATAGCTCTTTTCTCACAAAAGAGCCGCTCGAAGGTCCCTGCTCTCTAGCAGGGACTTTCGAGGGGGTAAAAAGGTTCACATGAACTAATTTTAGTACCGGCTCTTTTTGGTGTGAACGCGATAAAAGAGTTCACATGAACTAAGTTCACATGAACCTTTGTGGGAAAAGTGAGGCGCTTTCACACTGCGGTACTCTGCGGTACTCTGCGGTACTCTTTTGTCGCGTTCACACCAAAAAGAGCCGGTACTACAATTAGTTCATGAGAACCTTTTTACCCCCACGAAAGTCCCTGCTAGAGAGCAGTGCCTTTCGTGCGGCTCTCTTGTGAGAAAAGAGCTATATTTCTGATTGGCTGGGCGGATTGCAAACGACGCCCCGTAAAACTCCCAAAAAGTTTTGTGAGGCCGCCATTTTATTATCCTCGCATTAGCATTATTAGCATTAGCATTAGCCCAGCACACAAACGCAGAGAGACTAACTTATGGCAACACAAAATAAAACATGGGAGCGGTGGAGATGAGGAGGTGTCGGCGTTCTGGCGATTTACTCGGAAGGCTTCAGTAGAAGCTGCTGGGAGTCCCAGCAGCTTCTACTGAAGCCAGTCCCCAACTCCGGGGACTTCCGGCCGGAGACTTTGGGCGGCAGTATACGCCGTGAAGTGGTTTGCGGCCTGCCAGTAAACCCAAAGCAGAAGAAGAAGAAGTGACGTCAGCGGCTTCATTTGCCTAATCCACTCGAATCCACCCCCAGGGATTTATTCCGGTGTGAACCATAGACTGTATATATAAAATGGATGTAGGGTCCGTGACGTCACCCATAGGATTCTGCAGAGTTGCCGTGAAGCCCTTATTAGGCGGAGTCGGCCACTAACGGCTCGACAGTGACGCCAGAGTTCAACTCCCGCCTTCTCCAGCCTGCTCCAAATAAGGGCAAAGAGGCGGAGCCGAGGCGGGACCTGCTGCCACCGAGCTGGAAGTTCCAGAGCTAGCTGAAGCTACCAAGCTAAGCTAACATGCTCCCCATCTGCACGCTGCCGTCGCATTTTACGTTTCTAAGGTAAGCGGACATGAAACTATTCAGCAAAACTATAAATAATAATCTAAGTTATTGAGTTTTTAGCATAATACTTCAGAATCTTAAAACCCCTTAACGTTTGTATGCAATTGTGCTAAATTCAACACTGGAATCAAGCAAATATTAATATGTTTGCATGACATTAGTTATTTATATTTTGATATCACTTAACTATACGTTTAATACATTTAAGTCAAGCTAAGGTACATGTGATGGTAGCTAGTTAGCGCTCTTACCTGTGAGGCCTCCTCCAAACAGCATAATAACCAGACTATCATTAAAACTAAGTACCAGTTATAGATCCTTGACTTTAGACAAACAATTCAAAAGACAAAATGTATTTAAAGACCAATCTTTATTTGAATGTGCCTCTTAACCTGAGATATTAGTTATTGTAGTGCCGTGAAAAGAGAGTCGGAGGCGGTGTATTAAGAATGGAGTTCCAATCTTTATTATCCATTACTTTCAGAGAGGTTAACACATGCACTGCTCTGCCTGATGAGCTAGCAGGAATGGCAGCTAAAGCTACAGGTGTTCCCCACTAAAGGGTCCGTGTGTCACCACACAAGCCCCCCCAGAATTCACACATAAACAAAATCAGCATGGCGGGGAGGAACGACACGCCGACCCCCACGACTCCTGAGCACGGGAGTCGGAAAAGTGACTCCCGCCTGTACGGCCCCCGGAAGGGGAGGGACCGGAACAACAGGTCTTAAATCCGTGACAGGGGACGAGGCCGGGGGGCGGCCCCGTCGCGGAGGTCGAGCCAGCACCACAGGCTGGTCCAAGTCCAGGTGAGCAGCCTTCACCCGGTCCACCGAGACGTGCTCGGCCTGGCCACCCAGGTCGACCACCATGTGCTTATCCCCGTGCTCCAAGACCCGGAAAGGCCCATCATAAGGGGGCTGCAGGGGGCCTCTGTGCGCATCGTGCCGGATGAACACGTGCTCCGCCGAGCGGAGCTCTGCGGGAACCTGGGACACCTGAGTACCGTGCTGAGTAGTAGGGATCGGAGCAAAGGCCTCAGCGGCGTCACGCAGGAAAGCCCGCTGGGCCGACGCCGACCAGGGAGCCGATGCGTTAGGAAGGAAATCCCCCGGATCTCTCAGCGGCTGACCGTAGACCATCTCCGCTGTAGAACACTGCAGATCTTCCTTAGGTGCGGTCCTCAGGCCCAGCATCACCCAGGGCAGCTTGTCGACCCAGTTACCGTCCGTAAGGCCGGCCTTGAGGGCCGCCTTCATGGAGCGATGAAAGCGCTCGCAGAGGCCGTTAGCCTGAGGGTGGTAAGCGGTAGTCCTGTGCAGCTTAACCCCCAAACCACCTGCCACAGCGTTCCAGAGCTCGGACGTGAACTGAGAGCCCCTGTCTGAGGAAATGTCTGACGGGGTGCCAAAACGACACACCCACGTTGCAATGAAGGCCCGGGCAACGTCTGCGGCTGATGTCGAAACGAGCGGAACCGCCTCCGGCCAACGGGTCGTTCTGTCCATGGTGAGGAGGTAGGAAAACCCCTGAGAGGAAGGCAACGGACCAACCAGGTCAATGTTGACGTGATCAAACCTCCTCTCAGGCAACAGGAAACGCTCCAACGGGGCCTTCGTGTGGCGGTGCACCTTAGCGCGTTGACAAGCCACGCACTCCCTGGCCCAAGTCCTCACGTCCCTTTTCAGTCCTTGCCAAACGAACTTCGCCGCTACCAAACGCACCGAAGGTTTAACGCCGGGGGTGTGACAGGCCGTGCACAGCCTCGAACACAGGACGCCTCCAGCTGGCAGGGACGACAGGCCGCGCCAGGCCCGTAGAGACCGTCACACAGGAGAGTAATGCCCGCGTCGCCGAACACCACGTCCTCCAAGCGCAGCCCCGCGCTCTCCACCTTCAGGGCCTGGACGCCGGGATCTGTGACCTGGTCTGCCGCCATGCGAGTATAGTCCAGGCCCAACTGGACGGCACCGATGACGACCCTAGAGAGGCAATCAGCAACCAGGTTCGACTTGCCAGCCACGTGCTTAATGTCCGTAGTGAACTCCGATATGTAGGACAGCTTCCGCTGCTGACGTGCCGACCAAGGCTCCGCAACTTTTGACATGGCGAAGGTGAGCGGCTTGTGGTCGACAAACGCCGTAAATTCACGGCC